GAACTAAAATATGTATCATGAATTAAGTAAATATGCATAATAATTAATTATATAAACATTATTATATATTTAATTTAAATATAACAAATATGCATTTCGTATTAACAAACTATGCATCATAAATTACCTAAATATTCATAAAAAATTAACTAAATATGCATCATAAATTACCTATATGAAATGCACATTTTATTGCATATTTTTCGCTGCATATTTAGTTCATTCATGATGCATATTTAGTTCATAACTGATGCATATTTAGTTCATAACAGGTGCATACTTAGTTAATATTATTGGTGCATATTTAGTTCATAAGGACTGCATGTGCAATTCATATCCCATGCATATTTAGTTCATATTGAATGCATGATGCTGGATGCATATTTACTTTATAAATATGATGCATATTAGGGGTCAACGGGTCAACGCCGGAAGTCAACGGTCAACATCGGAGTCAACGCCGGAAGTCAACGGTCAACGTCGAAAGTCAACGATTTTTCACCGGAAGTCAACGGTCAACGCCGGAAGTCAACGGTCAACGCCGGAGTCAACTAATAATTATTTTATTATTTAATTAATATATATTTTAAGGAGTGGACTCATTTTAAGGAGTGTACTCATTTTAAGGAGTGGACTCATTGGATCCTCCCCTATATATATATATATTATTTATATATATAGCATAGTAGAATTATATATGTTAAAAGTATATATATGTGTGTGTGTGGAAATACGTGGAGTGGTCCTCTAGATAAAATTTGATATACCAGGTGTTGTTTTCCATCAAGCATCATTTATTTTTATTTTTTGTGTGTATTGGAGAATGAAGTTGGATTTATCCAATTCCACTTTTCTCCCTTTCACCTCTCTTTCCTCTTCCAACAACACAATATTCGATTCCATTAAAGGTAAAGATAATTTGGGATAGAACTTGGTGATGATATTGACAATATAAAGAGAAAATTTCTAAATTAGTCCCACATATTTAGGTAGTGCTATTTTCTATCCTGCAAAATAGTGAAAGTCAAAAATAGTCCCAAAACTTTCAAAAAGTAATTAAAAGTAAGACTTTTTTGATACGATTTTGGGTCCAGAAGGTCCAAA